AAGAATTTTCTCTCTTCCTTGATTAGTTATTGACTTTATAATATATCATTATGTATTCCCACTTTTTAAAAATCCAGCATGTTTAATGCCATTACTTTTAGTATTCATTTGATCCTCAAATTGCCCCCAGTTGGATAATCAGGAATTCCTTTCCAGCTAGTTCCCATGTTCTTGTTTGACACGTTCCTTTCATTCTTGTTTGGAGCACTTCCTTACTTTGTGGCACAAATACACTTTTACATGTCTTCCCCAGGCTTTAAATTAGCTATTTCTCCCAGGAGCCCCTGCTCCTTATATAGTGCAGGGTGATATTAGAGACCAAAATCTGGGTGCTAGGTGTGCTCATTGCTGCTGAGATGTCACTGCTTCTGGAATCTTTCAGGAGAGAAAGCTGGCAAATTATATATATTGGTAAAATAGGAGCTTATATTGCACCTAAGCCCCAGAGGTTTCTTCCTTGCTTTAACTTATTCTGACTTATATCTTACTTCTTTCAGAGAAAGAAGAGAACTTGAGCTCCCCAAAACATTAACATATTTACACATTTACTCAACCCTACAATGTAATCAGAATAATTTCAGAACTGTTACCCCTAGACCACTAATGACAACAACAACCACCATATTAAGTAAGGTTCAAAATTTCTTTGATGATCTTCTTGTCTTTGGACTGAGATATATAATCAAAGTACTCTATTCATAAGTTACTGGATTATTAATTTCCCCCTCCTGTGGTGATACTCTTCATTTGATGTGAAGTCAGTTTTATTTATGTTTGTCCACATTCACCTTTAGTTTTTCCCCATCCTTGTTGAAATTATCTTTTGAATACACAAAATATTAGCATAGTTGCAAAGGTCAAAGCTCAGGGGAGTGCCACTTCCTCCCTATTGCTTACTTCTTTCCTGTTCTCACCTGCCCCTAGTAGGTTATCAACTGCATTTGTTTTCTTTCCTTTGTCTCATATTTCAAAAATAAACAGATGCATACATGTGTTCTTATGTACCCTTCTTTTTTTTCTTAAAAGCAGCATCCTGTACACTCTTTTGTGCATTTTTTAAAGAGATTTTATTTATTTATTTTTTAGAGAGAGGGGAAAGGAGAAAGAGAGGGAAACATCAATGTGTGGTTGCCTCTCACGCACCCCTTACAGGGGACCTGGCCCACCACCCAGACATGTTGTCTGACTGGGAATTGAACCTGGGACCCTTTGGTTCACAGGCTGGCACTCAATCCACTGAGCCATGGCAGACAGGGCTGTGCTTTTTTTTTTTAATGTGGTGAGATAGTCTGAACCATCACTGAACTCCATCCACATCAGTGCACAGAGATTGACTTCATTCTCACTGCACAGTGGCTCAGTACTCTGCTATGTGATGTTTTCTAGATTATTTCATGAATCAAGGGCATCTGGGTTGTTTCTGATATTTTGCAATTATGAACACTGACTGCCGCAGTGAATTAACTTGTACCTGTAAGCTTTCATCAAACAGATATCTTCATTGGAGAGATTTCTCCAGGGAAGATTCCTAGCAGTGAGATTTCTAGGTTAAAGGATAAACACCTGTGTGGTTTTGTTAGTTATGGCCAGACTCCCCTCCATGGGGGCTGTGTTATTGTACAGCTGCACAAGGAACATATAAGAGCTTTCATTCTCCTGGCCTCACCAGGAAAAAAAATGTGAAACTCAAAAAAACAGTTTAAAAAATTGATTGGTTTAGAGAGAGAGATTAATTTGTTTTTCCACTTGCTAATGCATTCATTGGTTGATTCTTGTATGTGCCCTGAATGGAGATTGAACCCACAGCCTTGGCGTATCGGAACAATGCTCTAACCAACTGAACTAGCTGGCTAGGGTTGTTGTGAAGCTTTTTAACTTTTGATGATCTGATGCATGAGACATGGTAGCCCCTCATAGTTTTCACAGGTTTTTGTCTTACTTTGAATAATAGAGCATGGCTTTGTTTTTGTTTTTGTTGTTTTTTGTCTTGTTTTTCAAGAGAGAGATCATAGAAGGCCTTTCTAAAGAAGTGATAAGGAAGGAGAGGGTTAAGTGAAGTGACAGAGAGAGAGAGAGAGAGAGAGAGAGAGAGAGAGAGATCTGGGGAAAGAGAATTCCAGGGAGCTAGAAGAGCAAGTGCAAAAGCCCTGAGGCAGAAATGAGCTTGGTGTGTTCAAGGAAGAAGGAGAAGTTCATGTGGTTTAAGCAGAGGGAGCAAGGAGAGAGTGACCAGGGATGAGCGTGGCTGGTACCATGTGGGCATTATAGTTCAGGAGTTGGTCAAGTTTTTCTGTAGGAAAGCCAGACAATAAATAGAGTTTTGCTGGCCTCACTGTATCTGTTGCAGCCACTGAACTTCGCCTGTATAGCCACGGGCAATGTGTAAGTAAACTGGCTGTGTTCCAATAAAATTTTACTTGTGGACCTTGAAATTTGAAATTCTTAGACTTTTAAAATTGAGATATTCTAATTCATATAACCTAAAATTCATATAATTCTATGTTTTTTCACAAGGGTGGGCATCCCCATTACCTAATTTGACAACATTTTCATCACCCCCAAAAGAAACTTCACACCTTTTAACAGCCAGTCATAATCCCCCTTTACCCCATTCCCTGGCAAACACTAATCTACTTTCTGTCTCGATCGTTTTGCTTGTTTTGGATGCTTCATATAAATGCATCCATGTAATATGTGGTCTTCTTTTACATACCATATTTTTTAGGTTCATCCCTGTGGTAGCAAAAGTCAGTACTTCCTTTTTCTGGCTGAATAATATTCTCTTATATGGTTGGTTATGCCAGTTGATGGCCATTTAGGCTGTTTCTACTTTTTGGCTATTACGAATAATGCTGCTACAAACAGTCGGGTGAAAGTTTCAGTGTGGACGTATGTTTCTGAGTCTCTTGAGTAGACACAAAGGAGTGAAATTGCTGAGTCACAGGTCCATTTTATTTTACCTATTTAAAAAATTTTATTGATTGATTTTGAGAGAAAGAGGGAAGGGGAGACGGAAAACATAAATTTGTTGCTCTACTGATTTATGCATTCATGGACTGATTCTTGTGTGTGCTCTGCATGAAGATCAAACCCACAACCTTGGTGTATCAGGACGATGGTCTAACCAACTGAGCTAGCCAGTGAGGGCACAGCTTTAACACTTTGAGAAACTGCCAAATGCAATTGCATACTTTTTAGGTGCCACAAAATATCATTCTTCTTTTGACGTTTTAAAACAGTTTAGTTACATAAAAGCCATTCTTAGCTAGGAGGCCATACAAAAAACAGCCCTGTTGTAGGCAGTGGAAGGAATGTCTACTTATTCTAGGGCGATGGGCACACAATCCTATTCGTAGGATTCAGGGGGAAGATGCTGACAAGGATGACATCGATTCATTAGGGACCCTTAGTGTGGCTGCTGTTAAAAAGAAAGATCATCTTGAGGAAGCGTTATTTGCCTCCTAAAAATTTTCAACCCAGACCTCTCCTCTCCACCTTCCTCATGAGCCTCTGTTTCCTCATCTGTAAATGGAGATAAAAATGGTGCTGACTCGAAAGCGTTGTAAAGTTTGAATGAGTTAAAGCATATTTGACACTGAGAATGGTGGGTGGCACAGAGCAAGATCTACATAAGCAGTTGTTGTTATTGTTATTATTATTGATGTTGCTGCTATTATTACCCATAACTCAGCTCAGACCTCCTCCTTCCCCCACCCCGGAATATACAACTCCAGTGTTTCTCCTCCAATCTCTTTCCAAAACCAACCAGCCCCCAAATGATCTTCTACTCTCCAATCTGGTCCTGTCATTCCTCTGCTCCAGACCTTCCATGGTTCTCTGCTGTCCTGGGCATCAAGGCTGAGCTCCTCTGCCAGGCATGGGAGGCTTACCATGGTTGTGCCCCTGCCCCCCCACCCCCCGTTTGACCCCATCTCTTGTGGCTGCGGTCCATGTTGTAGCCACATGGACGGATCAGCTCAGGCCAGCCTCCAAGCCTTTGCCCTTGGTGTTCCCTCTGCCCAGAGTGGTATCACAGGCACTCTTATCCACTTCCTGTAGGACTTGGGCAAAGGTCCTTCTTCCAGGAAGCTTTTCTTGGCTTCCCCTGACCCTGACCTTGACCCTGACTCTGCCTGTTGACCAGCTTTCATAATTTCCTTTCCCAATGACGCTGGGAGCTCCTGGATACAAACTTGGGGTGGGGGAGAAGGAGGGCGATTCATTTCTGGGATTGCTGCACCCAGCCAAGGCCCAGAACACAAGGGGCTTCAAAAGAAGGAAGTTAGCCCCTAGCTGGGTGGCTTAGTTGGTAAGAGCATCATCCTCATATGCCAAGGTTGCCAGTTCCATCCCTGGTCAGGGCACATACAGAAATCAACCAATGAACGCATCAAAAAATGCAACAACAACAACAACAACAAAAATGCTGGAAGTTAGTTCACACCCCAGTAGGGAGGAGAGGGAGAGGACAGTGGTGGGAGGGTCGGCGCTGGGGAAAGAGGTCCATTGCTAATGGACCACGGGCACCCCCTGCTCCCCCAGGCCTCTCCTTGGTGGTGGGCTTGGTTCTCTACATTTCCAGCATCAATGACGAGGTCATGAACAGGCCCAGCAGCTCTGAGCAGTATTTCCACTATCGCTACGGGTGGTCTTTTGCCTTCGCTGCTTCCTCCTTCCTACTCAAAGAGGTGATGTCTTGGGGCCCACATGAAAGCTTTGAATGGGGCGGGGTCTCGGGTCCAGGAGGAAGAGAAGAGGAGATGGTGGGGTAGGGGCATAGACCCTAGAAGAGTGGTGGCTGAGGCCCTAGGGGAGGAGGGGGCTGGGGACCTGGATTTCTGGGGTCCTGCGAGGGTAAAGGGGGGTGGGGACCTGGACTCCTGGGGTTCTGGAGAAGGAGGAAGCTGGAGGCCTGGAATCTTGGGGGTCGTGGGGGTCGTGAGACTCTGGGTAGAGAGCCTGAGACCAGCCTCCGGGACTCTGACCCTGCTTTGTCACAGGGAGCTGGCGTGATGTCTGTGTACTTGTTCACCAAGCGCTACGCGGAGGAGGAGATGTACCGCCCGCACCCGGCCTTCTACCGCCCGCGTCTCAGCGACTGCTCCGACTACTCGGGCCAGTTCCTGCAGCCCGAGGCTTGGCGTCGCGGACGCAGCCCCTCCGACATCTCCAGCGACGTGTCCATCCAGATGACGCAGAACTACCCTCCCGCCATCAAGTACCCGGACCACCTGCACATCTCCACCTCGCCCTGCTGAGGCCCTGCCCCTCGGAGCTCCCTTCCTCCTCCTCCTCCTTAGGGGTCTCCCTGCGACGCAGCTCCCCTGCCTCGCGTCTCTTCTGGACTCGGCTTTCTCCTAGAGGGTGCTGCCCACACTTTAGCCCCACCCTCTGCCCAGTAGCCACGCCCACCCCCATACCCCTTTCTCTTTCCAATAGCCCCTGCCATTTCCTGGCCCTTATACTTCATTGGGCCCGTTTACTTCCAGATCGCTCCACTCCCTCGATTGCCCGCCCCCTTTTGCGGAGGCCACGCCCCTTCCTCGGGCCCCGCCCTCCCAGCTAAGTCACTCACTGGGTTCTACCGTGCAGGTGCCCACCTCCCCGGAGTCCCCCAACCTGCTGCCTCCCCACAGGGGCACTGGGCTGGAGAGTAGGGTCCGGCAGCCGCCAGGAATGCCAACCATCCTCTTCTCCCTTCTGCTCCTAATGCTCCTTCCTGGCTCCGTCTCACCTGCGCACCCTGGGGGCTCTTGAGTGCAGTGGGGGGCTTCTTTGCTCCGCCCACAGCCCCGGGGTGGGTCGGTGTCTGTAGGCCGTGGGTATGGTTAATCTGGTGTCCCTCCCACACGTGTCTCTGGCCCCACTGGGAGACCCCCTTCTTTCTCACCGGCTGGGCTCTTCTTGGCCACCTGAGGGTTACGTGCCTTTCAGGGGGCGCTGTCTAACCAATCTTCTAGCTTTCTCTGCTACCCTAGCTTCTCTTTCTCCCTCCTCTCCTTCCTCTTCCTCCTCTAACTGTCTCCTTCCTCCTTTTCACCTACACACCACACGTCAAGGATGGAGACCCTAGGGTGAGGGAATTCCGTGCTGTTTCCACACCTGTGCCCGCCTCTTCCCCCTCGAGGCTCCGTCGGGGGAGGGAGAGACAGTAGCGGGGGTCGACACCCCCCAAATCTCGAAGTCTTCCATTTTCTGGCAACTCCCTTTCATTGAAGTTTCCCTTCCCATCTCAGACCCCCAACTCTGGCCTCTTTCAAGGGTCCGTCCTCCCCCTTGGACAGATTTGGGGGCGTCTCAGAAATTCGCCCACCCCCCCGTATTAGGGGAGGAGGGGCGAGGTAGCACAGTGTTGTACACGGAAGCAGAAAGGCCCCCGGGGTGGGGGGGGGGAGGGAGGCAGGGGAGGGACGCGGGCTTTTAGTTTGCATCTTAGGTGGGAGGGGGGGAGGGGGGACCGCAGCAGTTAACCTGTCTTTACGCAGCGATTTTTAACGAGGCTGGGGGGAGGGGGGCTACGGGGGGGGGGAGGGTGGGTGGGGGGCCTGGCTCTGTTATTTACCGTGTATCATATGTAAATACCAACAGAAACTTCAATAAACTGTATTTCAAACACGTCTCTGCCTGCCCAGGGGGAGGGCATTGGCTATGGAGTGCTGGGTTCAGGTCTCTGCCCCCAGGGTCAGGGAATAAGGTTAGATTGGTATTTGTCAAATTGCTCAATCCTCATCGTTATTAACATCAGCACTTTATCATTCAGTCCATGTAAAGCGTGTAGGACTGCAAATGACACGGGTCAGAATCAATAAAAATTAACTCTTGCTATTACTCTGACCACTTAGAGTACTGTTACTCTTCCTCACCTTTTTCCTACATTCACCGTTTCATTTTGTTTTCTCCCCAAGACTTCACGTGGAGTTTGTGGGACTCCCTTTGCAGCGAGACCCACAGAGGTGAGATGACTCCTTCAGGGTCACAGAGGTTGAACTTGGCAGAACCATGAGCCTTGAGAGAGCGGTGGGTTCTCCCCATGTGAGGGTTTCAGTCATTCTGTTTAGAAATAACTGTTACCATTTATTGCACACCTACTATGAGCCACACACACAGTCCTCTTGTCCAGACCCCATGAGATGTTTCCAGCAGTGCTGGTGTAGGAATTATCACACACACAAACACACACACACACACCCAGTGGACTCTGCTATTTATGATCTCACTGTCTACATTTAGGGACTAAAAACAGCCTGCTTGTTGGATAAACCTGTTCTTGAGTTGTATTGAAAAGGAAACACAACACAGTGTAGCCCATCAGTTCTTTGCCTTGTCTTGATTTAACTTCTCCAGGACACTCCACTCAGAACTTCAGCCACACCCACACTTATCAAGCTGTCATTCAGTGTCGAACCCGGTGCTGAGAACCCTTCATGCATAACCTGATCGGATTCTCTCAGCCATCCTGTGAGGATTCCACAGAGCCCCATTTTGTAGATGTAGAAACTGAGACTCAGGAGGTGAGGTCACTCAGCTGGTAAGATGCCTAGGAACTTGGCAGGATAGTTCAGTTGGTTAAAGTGTCGCCCCCATACACCAAGGTTGCAAGTTTGATCCCCGATCAGGGTGTATACAAGAATCAACCAATGAATGCACGAATAAGTGGAAAACAAACTGATCTCCATCTCTCCCTCCTTCCTTCCCTTCCTTCATATCTCATAATTAAAAAAAAAAAAACAAGGAGTGCTAAGGAGAATTCACACCCAGGCCTTTCCAACCCCAGAATCTACTCTCTTGGCTGCTCCATTTACTACTAGGAATTTGATGCAAACTCATTCTGTGACCTTGAGCAAGTCTTTTAATCTCTGGGGCTTCAGTTTCTTTTTCTGTAACAAAGAAGGGGGATGGGCTAGAAGGACTCCAGATCCATCTGGAAGAGGGAGAGTTGGTGCGGGGAGGGGGGGTGGTGAGTAGGTTAGCAGGAAAGAATTAAGATTCAGCAGGATCAGACTCCCTGGGGGAAATAACTCTGAGTCATTTTCAGTGGTTTCAGGAATTTCTGGCGATCACACTTGAGATTTGGGATGGCAAATAGGTTTCAGCTTCTTTGTCAAGATTAATCGATCCTTTGTGGCTGCCTGCAGAGCACAGTGTTGATAAGGATTTTGAACTTCTGCTCAGTGGGGAAGGACGTCCCCATCAATTAGTGCTGTCTGCTGTCCTGATTAATTGATGCTGTGTGTCCTGCTAGCAGGATGGGAGATGGTGGTTCCAGTGCTGGGTATTTGCTGACTTTGTCCAGAAGCTAACAACCCAAAGTCTGAAAATATATGTTCTTTTTATTATTTTTTTAAAATCATGCTAGTTTTTGTTGTTGTTATTGTTGTTTTGCTTTATACATTTTGAAAAGGGATTCCATAGTTAAAAATCTGTTTTTTAAAAAACATTTTTATGGATTGATTTTTTTTTTAGAGAGGAAGGAAGGGAGAGAAAGAAAGAGAGAAACATCAGTTTGTTGTTTCACTTATTCATGCATCCGTTGGTTCTTTCATGTATGTCCTGACTGGGCATCGAACCTGTGACCTTGGCCTATTGGGACCATGCTCTAACCCACTGAGGTACCCAGCTTGGGCTTGTTTGTTTGTCTTTAAGGAATGCTGTGAAAAGTCAGTCTTACTTCTGACCTCTTGACATCCGGAAGCCCCGAGGTACTACCATCTTTTAATGTATAACTTCATGAATACTACATGCACATTGAAATATATATGCCTGCATTTACAGCCACACTGGTGGATATGTCATGTGTATGTACGTGTTGACTGGACTCAGCATTTAACATCAAAGGCACACAGTGCTGTATCTTTCCATTTCACGTGGCAATGTATCATGGAGATCACTTAGCATCAGTTACATAAGCCTGCCTAACTGTTTTCTAAGGCTGCTTAATAACAATACTTTGCATGAATTAGTCACATAATTTATCCAGCGTTTCCTTTGTGCCTTCCCCTTTGCATTCCAGTCCTCAGCACTTTCCATTCAATAATCCAAGGAGGTCGGTGCTTTTATTGTCGCCCCCATTTTATAAATGACATCCTGAGGCAAAGAGAGGTTGATTCACTTTCTCCTGGTCACACAGCTGATAAATGGTCGAGTTAAGATTTGAACCCTGGGAGTCTCCTGAGCCTGCCGTGCTTACCCACTAAGGCTAAGCTGTATACCTCTGCATATATTGAAGCCACATTGTTTCATCTATTTATCATGATTTTTATACCATGTTTTGCACTCAGTTTATTTACAGAACAATACAGAATATCTGGGGTTCTCACAGAGTAGCCCAGGGACCCTGGGCATTCCTGAGATGTGTTTAAGGGGTCCATGAGGTCCAAACAATTTTTCTAATAATGCTGTGATACTGTTTGCCTCTTCACTCCTAGTCTCTCATGAGTGTAAGTCCAGAATCTTTGTGTGGCTTCAGGGCAGGTGACAGCATAGCAGAGTAAATGCGGAAGCAGAGCCCTGGCCCGTGTGGCTCAGTGGATTGAGCCCTGGACTTTGAGCCAAAGGGTCACTGGTTGGATTCCCAATCCAGGCACATGCCTGGGTTGCAGGCCAGGTCCCCATCGGGGGGCATGCAAGAGGCAACCACACATTGATATTTCTCTCTTTTTCTTCCTCCCATCCCCTTTCTCTAAAAATAGATAATTAAAATATTTAAAAAATAAATGCAGAAGCAGATATGAGAACTCAACTTTCTTCTATAAGGCCAAACACTGAGTAAAATTTCAAAAATATAGATATACATACATTTATATGTGTTTTATTTATATGTATATAAATATACATATATATGTTTTTGTTTGGTAAAATACAGTTATTTTCCACCAAAATAAGTCATTTATATAAACATACAATGACTTTATTATTGTTTTACTTGAATGAATACATATTTTTAAAATCTTCATTTAAATTTTGAATATGTTGACTATGTATAGACAAAACTCACATAAACCAAAGCTCTTTGGGATATCCTAAAGTTTTTAAGTGCATGAAGAGAGCCCTGAGACCAAAGGGGTTAAGCATTGGGGTTGTATCTCATGCAGCAATATACTAGAAGTGAAGACGTCTCATTTTTTCAATGACTTTGTAGTGGTCCATTGAATAGGACTACAGAAGTCCCCCTTCTCTTATCCACAGGGGATATAATACAAGACCCCCAGTAGATCCCTGAAACCTCAGATAGTATTGAGGTTTATTTATTTATTTTATTTTATTTAGTATGTTTTTTCCCCAATACACACTCTACTTTTTCACTTAAGCTTTTCACTTACGCACTATGACTTCTCTTTGGTATATCTGGATTGCCAGAATCATTATGCTTCCTCTTCTGGACTTTTTTTTTTACACACTGCAGGGACATTTTTAAAATTATTAATTATGTATTGATTTGAGAGAGAGAGAGAAGAAGGGAGGAGGAGGAGACCCCCTTCTCTTATCCACAGGGGATATAATACAAGACCCCCAGTAGATCCCTGAAACCTCAGATAGTATTGAGGTTTATTTATTTATTTTATTTTATTTAGTATGTTTTTTCCCCAATACACACTCTACTTTTTCACTTAAGCTTTTCACTTACGCACTATGACTTCTCTTTGGTATATCTGGATTGCCAGAATCATTATGCTTCCTCTTCTGGACTTTTTTTTTTACACACTGCAGGGACATTTTTAAAATTATTAATTATGTATTGATTTGAGAGAGAGAGAGAAGAAGGGAGGAGGAGGAGACAGAGGTTTGTTGTTTTTCTTATTGATGCATTCATTGGTTGATTCTTGCATGTGCCCTGACCAGAGATCGAACCCACAGCCTTGACAAGTGGAGACAACGTTCTAACCAACTGAGCTATCTCGCCAGAGCCTTCTTTAGGGCCATTAGGAAGTACAATAACGATTACCTGACCATAAGCACTGTGACACCAGTCAATCTGATCCTGGAGAAGGCTACTAACAGGTGAGTAGTGTACATTGTGTGGAGACACCGGACAAAGAGATGATTCACATCCTGGGTGGGATGGGGCTAGATGGCGAGGGATTTCGTCATGCTACTCAGAACAGCGCACAATTTAAAATTTATAAATTGTTTATTCCTGGAATTTTCCATGTCATTATTTAAAAAAATATTTTATTTATTTGTTTTTAGAGAGGGGGAAGGGAGGGAGAAAGAGAGGGAGAGAAACATCACTGTGTGGTTTTCTCTCACCCTGCAACACAGGCATGTGCTCTGGTTGGGAACTGAACCTATGATCCTTTGGTGCACAGGCTGGCACCCAATCCATTGAGCCACACCAGCCAGGGCTTCATATCATGTTTTCAAACTGAGGTTGACCACAGGTAACTGTAACA